CCTCCTCCTTCCGGCCCACCCCCCTCTCCTCCCTCCCTCCCTCACTCACTCACTCCGTGGGTATTCCTTTGTCGCTCCTCTCTGCACCCAACCTCTTCTCTCGCGCCATACTCTACCCTGTGTCGGCTCCTCGCCTTTGAGATCTCGATTTTCCTTCCTGTATTTCTGACTCTCGGACCTTACAGGCCCGTGCTCCTCTTCTCTGCTCTGCTCGTCGCTCTTGCTCGCTGCTCTCATGGGATTCTCAGCCTTCCTTGTAAACTTCATCGACACCGAGGTCAGGTCAGACCGAGGCTGCGGTAACAACAAGCATGTCCTCCTCCTCCTCCTGCCTCCTCACAGTGAGGCCTGCAGGAGGATTGAACGCCAAGTACGTAGTCTACGTGCTCAAGATAGGTCGCCCTCCTAGCTTCTGCGAGGTTGACGCTGACTGTGCGCGGCAGTGAACGGAGATAGGCAATGGTTGTGCGAGGTCTGCCACGAGCTACAGTTGTGATCAAAGTGATGAATGCGCCATGGCAGAAGAGATACAGCGACTTTGTGCTGCTTGACGACGTGCTGCGGTCGAAGTTCTGGTACATGCAGGTAACTGCCTTTGCTGCATGGAGGCTGCATGGCCCTCTGAGTTTGCTCGCAAGGTTCCCAAGTTGCCGCAGAAGAAGTTCTTCTTCAATTTCGATGAGGAGTTCATCAGCAGGTGACGGACGCTCATGTTCGTTGTGCTTCATCTGCAAGATCGCCCAGCTCTCTCTTCACTCCTCCACTCCTCCCCTCCGCCACTACCTCCTTCACTTCTCCCTCACCTCTCCACCACCTCCTTTACCTTTCTCCAACCCCCACCCACATCCTTGTTTCTACCCCCACCTCTCCCCGACTTGCGTTTGCAGGAGGCGAAAGGAGCTGGAAGAATATTTGAGGTCGCTCCTACAAGTGCGTGACTCTCCTCCCTCCCCTCTTCTACCTTCCCCTCTTCTACCTTCCCCTCCCCTTCTCTCCGCCTCTTCTCTCTCCTCCTCTCTTCCCCTTGCCTCTTTCCCTCCCCTCTTCTCCCCTCCCTTCCCCTTCCCTCTTCTCTCTTGCCCACTCCACTCCCACCGCCAGTCTGAGACGATCGCCGCCAGATCGCTTGCTTCTCACAGAGCGAGGAGATGTGGCAGTTCCTCACGGATCAGAAGGTAGGCAGCGCTTGCTCTATCGCCTGTCGATGGTGCTTGACGTCCCCTCAGTCCATCGTCGGAGCACCGCCCGAGCTGCAGGAAGAGAATGATCGACACAAGCAGGTAGGAGGCGCATGGTACTGCGTTGGCAGGCTAAAATGTGCTTCCAAGGCGATGGAGTATGCTGCAACGGAGGAGCCGTAAGGGAGGCAGATGTCGTGGAAGGAGTAGAGAGTGAAGAAAGCTTGACGGAGGAGTTGGTTTGCTGTCAGGGCCGTTCGACACCTGTGTTGCTGTGTCCAGAAGAACACGTTCGGGTTGATATTTTTACCCACAAGAAACTAGCAAGTTTCTGTTGAAGGGGATCGTCGGGCACGACAGGTGCCACATACGCCTCTGTAACGCTAATCGTGTAGATAAGTTTGAGAGTAAAGAGCTTAAGATTCCAGGGGGAGCACGAACTCCTCGGGGAGCACGGGAGGTTTTGGAATCCCGTAGATGTCCCTTTGACTCCCCAGCGTGTCGAGAACGTTCTGGAGGAAACCTGGGGAGGGTTGAGGAGGAGCGAGGAAAGGAGGGCAGAAGACCTTTGAGGATGGGAGAGTCGTCGACCACCGACTGCTTCAGCGCCTTCCTCTGGTCCTTGGCTTCTACGAGCATCAGAGGTCAGTGCATGAAGGTATGCGTCTGCACTGCTTCCAACTTCCTTACCTGGTTTGCCGTCCGCCGTGCCCTGTTTGACCGGGCTAGCACTGTGAGAGGAGCTCTTGCTGGCGGCAGCATGAGCAGGGGGCTCCGGATCTACATCAAAGCTCTCGCAAAGGCCATTTTTGGCCATGATTTGCCTGTAGACTGATCAAGGAGGCAGGAGGAACAAGGGGGGGAAGGGAGAGGAGGGAGAGGAGGGGAAGGGAGAGAGGATCGGACGGTGTGTGGGTGGAGGGGGGCAGTACCTGACGGTCTTGCTTGCGGGGAGCGCACCAGGCAAGTCCAAAGGAGCACCTCTCGTAATCAGCATCTGAACTGTTCACAGACTATGAGAAAGAGGACGAGGAGTGAGGGGGAGGAGAGGGCGGAAGAGAAACAGGAGGGGGGGCACAAAGAGCAGGAGCAGGAGGAGCAGGAGGAGCAGGAGGAGCAGGAGGAGCAGGAGGAGGAGCTGAAGGAGTACCGATATCCTCCATCCCCGAGTCAGCTCCAACGCCTTTCAGGGCACAGTGGAGCATCGTGTCTCCTCCTTTGTTCACCACGTTGATCCTGCGGGGCTGCGATGAGCGGCGTGACGACCAGCAGGACCTCGGGCGCTTACTCTTGCGGGCTCCTGGTAAGGAAGTACTCGGCAACATCTTTCCTGCCTGTCATGCGGGCGACTGGTCAGTGTGGAGAAACATGCCATGGCAGGGAGAGCACCTTGCAGGACAGCACAGAAGCATGGAGTCAGTCCAAGAACGTCTCTCGCACCTGCCGGTGATGCGTCAGCACGTTGAACGCCCCATGGAAGTTGTACTGATGTTGGCTCCGCACTCTTCGACAAGGTATCTTGCTATCTCCAGATTCCCCTCTCCAGCCGCGTAGTGTAGCGGACTGAACCCCTCTGAGAGCAGGCTCAGGGAGGCTGCAAGGAGGACATGCATGTACCGATGTTGGTCAGGTTGACGTCCTTGTCGCAAGCCTCTGCGATGATCTTGACTAGCGGCAGCTTGTTGCTCAAGACCTGTCAGCCGTCATCGACAAAGAGAAACGGGAGGCGTGCTGGCACCGCCATGAACAGAGGAGTGTCGCTCTCTCCGTTGGTTGCCTTAGCATCCGCCACCACCTTGGCCCAGTCAGATCACACGTTGAGCCCTCAAGCTCTCGACGCGAATACCGGAGTCTTCGAGGGCCCCGAGGTGTCATTCCAGATGCTCTTGGTGCTCAACAGATACTCCACGATGTCCGTGTGCCCTGCAGACTCTCATCACCACCCCCACTGATCCATGAGAGAGTCTGCCTGAGAAGGAGGACAAGTGCAACGTGGTATTCCCCAAGGAGTCACAAACATACAGCTTCGCCTCTGGTCCCAACGCCAGGAGCTGCTGGGAGTTAGGGGAGGCTAACGAAAGGATGACGAGAGAACGAGGAAAGAAGGTAAGAGGGAGACCTCTTTCACGCTGTCTAGGTCTCCCTTGAACGCTGCAGACAGCAAGGCGTCTCGTCCTGCATCATGCCCATCATCTTTGAAGAGCGGGGAGTCCAGGCGTTACCGACTCCTTGGGACTTCAAGACTTGGGGCGTGGAAGAACACTCGCTGCCCGACGGAGAATCTGAGAGGTCAAGCCTTCAGCTCGACATCGGCCAGGAGGAGGATCGGAGACCTGGACAGTCGCTGTCGTCGCGAAGCCCAGTCCCTCGATCTACTCCAAGTTGTCATCAGTCAAAACCATCACATAATGTTCTTGGAACTACCTCTCTCGCTCTTGCTCTGCTCCCTCCGTCTATCTACCGCTGCGGCAACAAGTCAACGGGACAGGAGAAGGAGAATGGAATGAGCTGCGAGTACGTTCAAGGCTATCGATGTCAATGGGATGAAATCCTGCGTCACCATGTAAGGACAAGCTGAAGCAAGGGAAGCGAGGTTACCTGGGCGTATAGTCTCTTTCTTCTTCGACTTGAAGGGATTCCAAGGCATGGTGCAAGCTCAAGTATCGCAGGTGCAACCACTTTACGTCAGATCATCGTTATGGCCTGCGATCGAGTTAGTGTCACACGTTTGTTCGATCCTGCCATCTGCCCTGTCTTTGATTCTTCCCTGTCGCCGCTCTCTGTCATCACGCTCTTCCCTCCCTCCTCCTCC